AATGTACATGCAAATGGGTCAGGCCCCCTTTTTTTTCTCTTTCTATTCCCCTGCATGCATAAATCCCAGCAACACCCCTGCTGTGCTATTAGCTTCTTTGCACTCTGCCATTCAGCAAGAACCTGGGGACTAGGCTTTTTTTACCGACAAAGTATGAATGACGCTTACTTTTATTTCAAGTCTTAAATTGTGTGTGCCCATAGCAATGTGCGATTATGAGTGCATTGTAACGCCACAGTAACAGCTATCAATTACAATGCTGCAACTAGTCAACTATTCTCCATTCTTGTGTCACGGGTACATTGTGCTAGTGTTGTCTACGATCGTTCACGTGTATATTAAGTGACGCGCAAGCGTAGATATAAAGGATATAAAAAAGAACAGTAAGTGCCCACAGAGTGGTGCATACCATTGTACAAGTTCACCCGTGCTTAGCGGATGTGCGCTAAGCTTGTCTTGCGGCGCGGCATGCGTGCACAGCAGCTGCATTAGAGTAAGCTTAACCTGTTATTTGTAAACATGCCTAGTTCCACGGCAATGCGAATGCTGCAAACATTCAATTCGAACTCATCCATGTTCAGGAATCTAAATATAACCCACTGAATAAATCAGGGACTTGTGTATTGATGCGAAATACTTCAGTGTGAGGAAATATGTGGACCCCCATTAAAAAATTGGCCCCGTATCTGCATGTTTCTGCAAATGTCGTCGAAAGACGATAGTCTTGCGTGTGGAGAGAGTGAACAGGACATTTATTTGGTGTTCTGCGCAAGAAAATCGATGAGTGGTATTCTGCAGGCCCTGCGTTTGAGTGCTTCGAGCGTGCAGCGGAGGCGAACGAGCGCATCTAGTCACGTCACACATGAGACATGAGCGTCAACTGGCAGTTTTCTGAAAAAAAAACAAACAAAGCGCATGGCTCTGAGACGGGTGTGCGTGCCCATCTCAGATGTGATAAGGTGTAGAACGCAAGGCGACGGTAGGTGCCACCACCATATCGTCTTAGAAAAGCGTTGTTAACACTCCCCGTTCCGTGCAATAATTGCATGGTCAGCGCAGCGTGATAAGCGCTATACGGTCCTTAAAATTAGTTATGTATGCTTTTTCTTAGTAAAACATGCACATGCAGAATATATACGTGTTGTTATGGTGCCGCAGACATGCGCAATAATTGCTTTTAATTGACGATTGCACAAGCACGAACGCTCAATCTTGAGCAACATTGGTGGGCGCTGCGGAAGGGGTCGGCGGTTTCAAGTACCAGATGCCGTATAGAGTGAACAAACATACAAATGTGCAGGCGGACAGACAGACAGACCAAAATTTTTGCGTCGAAGGTCCCCAAGAAAGAGTATCGTTTTTAATAAACCAGGAGCTCTGGTACGAAAAACTTAGTGTGATTTCAAATGAGAAAGCGCACACGATAGCCTGTCGAAAACCATATGTAATCGTTTCATGTTATGTTTAAGCGCAAACTAATCTCTTTTACCGATGTCTCTGTGAGAAGTAGGAAGAATGGACATGAGCGGCAGCAAAATATTTTTAGTAAGAATCCCAAAAACGTAACCCATGAATTAAGTCATTGAACATGTGAGAAATGTTCTGAATAATGTAAATAGGCGGTGGTATATTAGATATATTACATAGCACGATATATTTTGGCGAATGATACGGGAATTGAAAACAAAGGCCAAAAAACATCAATATTTTCACCAGAACTTTTTGGTTTGCTTGCATCCGTTGAGATGTGATATGTATTGATGCTCTAAACTATATGCATATATGATAGGTGTAACATTCAAGGAAACACGCTTGGGTGTAATTTGCGAACACACACCTATAGTACACCTAAAAATGACAAATGGGTGTACAAAAGGTGGAATTGCAGTAATTACACCCGTGCGGATAAGTTTGGCAGAAATAATAGGTGTAAGATGGGTGATTTATTGAAAAATTCACCCTTAAGGGTGTGAAATGATTTGCAGTGTACCCCTATGACGTAATCGACACTGGCGTATTCTTGGACAGCAAAGGACAAGTAAACGCTGCGCCGTATATCCATCAGTCTGTGTCCAGAAGTACAGTGGAAGATGCGACCGGTGCAGCGAAATGGCCTCACTTGAATGCTCCCTACGGCAAGCTTTCCCTTTTCTGCTGGAATTACGCGCGACCTAGACAACGCTTTAGACAGTGCCTGATATATAAACCTTACCACGCCGCGGTGGTCTAGTGGCTAAGGTACTCGGTTGCGGGATCGAATCCCGGCTGCGGCGGCTGCATTTCCAATGGAGGCGGAAATGTTGTAGGCCCGTGTGCTCAGATTTGGGTGCACGTTAAAGAACCCCAGGTGGTCGAAATTTCCGGAGCCCTCGACTACAGCGTCTCTCATAATTATAGCGTGGTTTTGGGACGTTAAACCCCACATATCAATGATCAATATATAAACTTTTTCAACTGTGACTTCTCGGGCGTTGTATTGTATTCTCGTGCAACTATTCAAAATGAAGAAGCTTCCTCCCTCCTTTGAACCAGTCTGTTCGACAATACGGATACCTCTATGACGTCAATGAGTACCCGTACTCGGAGTGGTTCAGCCGAGTTGTGTCTTTCGCTCTGGTGCGCGGATCGGCGAAGCAGAGTTTTTCCTTAGCCTTACATTCGAATGCACATCTCCTGATTTCTTATTATGCTGTTTGCGTGAGGGGGCGACAGTCAGTCAATGGCAGCGTCATCGAGCTAGATACGCCCATCTACCGACCGCAGCGTTGTGGCTGTCGTTCTTTGTGCGACTGGCGAATCGAACTCCGCTAAGTTTAACTCGCTTCGTTGCGAAGGCACGCGCAATGCGGTCACGCCATACCAGCACCGAGTCGCAAGCGGTAACGAAATCGGGAGAACACAACCATCCGGCCCTCGTACGCTCATTCTCTTTCTCTCTTTCTCTCTCTCTCTAAATCCTGAAAAGAGTGGAGCGCGGTGTCTGCGTGCTGCGGCATCATAAACTTGAATGCCACGACGCCATTGATTCCGCCTCGCGGCCCAGACGGGTGTTGTCGGCTAGTTTTGCGGCTTACCGCGGTTCGATATCGGCTTCGGCTGATGGTCGGCCAGCCCGTAGCGGCCGCAACTATATACCCGCGTCTACACCGGCCGGCAGTCATTGTTTTGTGTTCATTCGTCTTGCGCGTTATCTGATTTGTTTTAGTTCTTCTTGCTTCTGTTTTTACTCCGCGCGAACAGTTTTTGCACATGGCTGCTTCTGTCTGTCTGTCTGTCTGTCTGTCTGTCTGTCTGTCTGTCTGTCTGTCTGTCTGTCTGTCTGTCTGTCTGTCTGTCTTTGTGTGTGTGTGTGTGCGTGTGTGTGTGTGTGCGTGTGTGCGCGTGTGTGTGTGTGTGTGTGTGTGTGTGTGTGTGCGTGCGTGCGTGCGTGCGTGCGTGTGTGCGTGCCTGTTCAAACGCCGATCGCAGCGTTTTTTTTTCGGAGCTTCTTCGGGCGCGCGAAACCTGCGGAAAAATATAAAACACATCTGCCTGACTTTCAACGCTTTCACTTTTTCCGACTTTCTTGTGTTTTATTTTTATCTCCCTGGGTGGGATCGTTTACGCGGTTTCCTCGAGCACGTTATTGCCTTGATGTGCTATTTGCGAGCTCATTAATTAAGCCGGGGGAAAGCGGTTTAAGCTCGTCGTGGTTGCTCCGACCTTTTATCCGAGTGTTGTTGTTGCTATACTACAGCTGTTCGTTTAACAAATGCGGCATCCAACAATGACGACGAAAAAAACAACAACATCGAGTTCGGCGTAACGTTAATCAAGTTCAAGCTCCGCAGGCGACAAGGTTGCCTTTCGTTCCTCGTTGTCGCTCTGTTTTATGCAAGCGGCTTTGCCCGAAGGTAGTGCGTCGATCGATGCGAAGACGTGCACGTGCTAAAGGGTTCCAGAAACCAGTGGCGGCGCACCGCGTGTAAACGAGGTAACGAACGTGCGCAGCGCGTGCCTCGTGTGCCGCAAAAGCTACAGTACCGATACTTCAACGTTTAATTATTCCGCAATGTTCGCGTGCTGCACCGGCGCCCACCGGGATACCTTTTCTTTGTTGCGGAGCCTGATCGATTGCGCCAGCTGCTGCTCGCGGTGGCTCGATGCAAATTAGATCAAAGCGTGTATCACGTGGCACGTGCTATGATGGAAACTAACGCAGTTCGCGTGTCTATTCTATTTTCTGTAGTCATGTTTGTTTTTTTTTGGCAACGGAGCTCTTTGAGGTTTTCGTTTCGCTGGTTCCCGTAGCCAGAAAAGTGTTGTCATGAATGGTCTCCACCTTATATGGTGTCTCGCGTTGCTAGGATCTGACCATGCTAATTAGGATCATGTTGCGTGATACCATAATAATCAAAATATTGTTAATTATGATCATACTAATTAAGATATTCGAATTATGACTACTTAAATTAAGACCTATATAATTAATATGATCTAACTTATACCATGCTAGGTAGGTTTTCAATCATGGCAGCAGTAAATAGGTGTTCAATAGTTGGTTCCTCAAAAGGGCATTTATACTAAAACCGTGTTAATTAGCGCACTTAGTTAAGAGCCTTCTACTTAAAAACCTGCTAATAATTAAAGTCAGCCACACGCTTCGCTGCTATTCCAGCCCGGTTCATACATTACGTGCTACGCTATGGAAGTTAGCGAGCCGTTATAACCTTTCTGGAAGTAACTGAACTATATGCGTGGCTATAAAGTTTGTCTCAGCTAGAAAGAATACTACATACTCACCTCTCTATCTCACCATCGCCATCCATTATTCTGTCTTCTCCCCTTTCCCCTCCCCAAGTGTAAAGTAGCAGGCTAGAGCAAGCCATGGCTCAGGCCGACCTCTCTGCCTTTCTGTAAATAAACGTATCTCTCTCTCTTTTTGTAGTACGCGCGTGTGATGGGAATAACTGTGTTCTTTCTCTCCTTCCTTCCTTCCTTCTTTCTTTCTATCTCTACAGAATCACAAACGACGACCGTGAGAACGAGATGGAGGATAACATGGTTCAAGTGTCCACCATGATCGGGAACCTGCGCAATATGGCAATCGACATGGGCAGCGAGATTGAGTCGCAAAATCGGCAGATCGACAGGATCAACCAGAAGGTACGTATGTCCTTCCTGATTCTGCTACGTCCACCTGCACGCGAACACGCGCGTACAATCGGAACGTGCTCACGCTGGTACTCACGCGTTTGCGTACACATATATACGCTCCGTCTCAACGCTTCGCTTTATTACCGAAAGTAAGTATATATTGGCTGTAAGACGTGTCAATATACACAGCAAGTAGCGAGAATAAACTGGCCGACATTAGGGAAGACGAACGCGGGCGCACCGTGTTTTTTCCTATCTGGCGTTTTGTTTTGTGGCGCCATTTCGCAATGGAACTATTGTCAAAATAGCAAATAGCCGAATGTTCAACATGTTTAACGTGATACATAACAAGATCGCAAGAGTGCACACATGCGTCCCTGGGGGGGGGGGGGGGGATTGCACAATAAAATAAAAAAATGGCGTAATACAACGTGCGCACGACTCAACATTTCGAGGATATAGAGGTAGTTTTTTTTAGCGGAATGCGTTAGCTTTACTTACCTTAGCTTATCTAGCTGAGCCGCAGCTGCTCAACCAAGTTAAGCTGATTCTTATAGGCTCGACGAAGCGGGCTGCGGTAGCTCAATTCGCACATACGTGGTGGTAGTGGTTAGAAGATGAGAAAATGCACCTAATTTCTGCAAGCCGGTCGGGAGCACGGCGCAGTGCCTGCGGGGAAGGGAAAAGGGAGAAAAGTGGAAAGAAGAGGAAAGATTATTTGAGCAGTGGAATGGTCGTCATCAACAGAAGCAGCAGTCCAGAAGCAAGGGTAGGGGTGGCAAGGGCCCCATAGCAGCCGAAATGTAACGCTCGTGCACTTTCTCCCTCTCTCAGGTGCGCGTTACTGAAACCCAGCTTTTCGAAATTGACTGGCAGTCCCGCACTGCCGCGTGCCTTGTGTAATGGCATTGGTGTGTACTGTCAGCGTCAAGTGGAACCCGAACAACGGCAAGCCTTCGCGATGGTATGGTGCGCGCCGTCCAGCTATCACCGCGGACAGGCACGCATATAAGCGCATAGCTGCCGACCAGGATGTGCTAGCGCCTATTAACGGTGATAACTGGATGGCCCGCATCACACTGTAGCGAAGGCTTGCTGCTGTTTGGGTTGCATTTGACGCTGATAGTACAACCTTCGGAATCAATAAGCCCAACACTGGCTAACAGCAGCCAACTTAAGCCAGCAGTGGCTAGAATTGTGCTCTTAATTTTTATGCCACCCGTAAAGCGAATGATGCCCTCAAACTTGGGCTTTTTAAGAGAGCGAATCGTTGGGCAAGTTGGTGATCTACTATACTGACAACAGCGCAACAAAGGACCGGGGATAAGAAGAAAACAGATGAGCGCTGAGTATACCTATCTCGATCTTTTTTTTTCTTTAGCTTGAGCCTGCTAATACCAGTGCAACAAAGGCACAATTAGCTGCGTTCGTTCTTTCGGGGTTTTTTTGCATTTTTTTTGTTTACTGAGGTAATCAGAGGAAGACAACTCAGCTAGTGGCTTCAAAGCGGTGCCTGCTAACTGGTTTTGTCCAAGCGCAGTAAAAGTGTGTCACCCAAGCGACAAATAGCTTTGCTATTTCAACTTCTTTTTTTTTCTGTAGTTTCTTGAAACCAGTAGGTAGCTCGCTTTTCAGATGGGCTCGACCTACAAACCGACGGTGCTTCCCCGCGTTAGGCCCCGCCGCGGTGGTCTAGTGGCTAAGGTACTCGGCTGCTGACCCGCAGGTCGCGGGATCGAATCCCGGCTGCGGCGCGGCTGCATTTACGATGGAGCCGGAAATGTTCTAGGCCCGTGTGCTCAGATTTGGGTGCACGTTAAAGAACCCCGAGTGGTCGAAATTTCCGAAGCCCTCCACTACGGCGTCTCTCATAATCATGTTGTGGTTTTGGGACGTTAAACCCGACATATCAATCAATTCCCCCGTTAGTGAGGTACCCGGTACGCACTTTTGATGATTTCGAGATTGTAGCGTAACAAACTGCGATCGCACGCAAACAATACGACAAGAGGATGCTGGTAATCTTTTTTTCTCGCTCGCGCATGTCGTGATTCTCAATGGCGATTCGCCTAAGATACGCTTGAGTGAGCAGCGTGGCGACGCTGCATAATTCACGTCTTACTATATATGCGACCGCATACGTGAGCACGTAATAAATTCAGCTTTGTCTCTGAATATGCAAAGTTATCACGTCGTTCATTCAAGCATCCGCACAGGCTCTCGCCAGACGTCTTGCGATATTCAAAAGCGCGCTTCTTTTTCGAGAACGTGCCGCACGTGAAGCTTAGTCCCACGGTTTGTAGAGATGAAACAAACGCGACTAAACGTCTTTTCGTGTCTAGTCCCGCTTCTTTGACGGCAGTTCGGCTCAAGTGTCACGGCGGAAACAACATAAACTATTGGTGACTTATGCAAATAACATACCGTATCTTATCGTGTATAACCGGCACCCCCCACTTGCAAGCTGCTGGAAAAAACAAACAAACAAAAACTTGAACCATCTCCCGCTAAAGCGAATTTTGTGTAGATGCGAAGCTGTGGGCGCTATCGCGCTTACACTGGCGGCGACCTTGACGCTGGCGCTGCTCATCAAGCAAAATGTTCTTGGCTGAATTCTGAACGCGCGACCCAGTGCGTATGCATATACGGGGTTGCCAGTGAATGGTTTTGCAGCGCAAGGAGTCGTTTTTTTACTAGCAGACACTGCATGCGTCGGCCTTGCGAGGCGACAGTTTTTCGGGCGTCTTCCTGGGTCGGCACGTCGTGACGCGAGCATGCTCAGTGGAGGTGTACGGAGGGACAGCGTTACATAGGCTAATCTAGAAGCTGCTTCGCATCTAAAAAGACGTACTTTTGTGTATGCGTACATATATATATAATATATGTATATATATATATATATATATATATATATATATATATATATATATAATATTACATAACGTGCACGCCGACTTAAGGTCCATATTTCTGCGTAAAGTGTACGACTTTTACGCGAGAGCACATTGTATTTTGTTTCACGACAACAGCGAGGCGCGTTCGTACTTCCAGCGCGTCTTGGGCCGCCTATAAAATGACTGGCATATTTTCAGTAAATCGTGCGGGCCTTGTTGCGCTAGTTTGAGACGGAGCGTATAAATCTTGGCACGCGCACGTCACACAAAACACCGCTGCTTCTATTCACCGGTGCTCATGCAATCGACTCGCCATGCAGTTAGAAGAAAGAAAAAAAAAGAAACAAGACATGAAGGGACCAAGGTTTTTGGTTTCTAGGTTTAAACCTTTTCCCCCTTTCTTCCCCAAAATCATACTCTGAGCGAAAAGCTCCTTCGTAACGTTCATCGTTTTTTTTTTTTCCTTCTTAGACTAGACGTAATCGCTTTTCTTTTTCTCTCTATGTGTTCCATGTATGCTACCCGTTTAAGGCAATATCTGAAATAGATTAGCGCAAGAATTTGTAGTTTTTTTAATCGCTCGTTTATTATGACAGTGTTGTACTGTCATTAAGGTGCGATAGATCGCGATTCCCTTGCTTACGTGTGGCGTGCTGATTTTGATGTTTTCGTAACTGTTTTAATATCGCACCTTAATTATTGTACCCTCTTGTCTAACTAGCTCAAACAAAAATGATTTCGGTAATATACTGTATGTCACTCACTGAAACATATTGCATGCCAAACGGTCGCCTTAGGCTGTAACTTTCTTTAATAAAGTATTCGATAATTCATCGAAATGTTGCAATATTGATTAATGCGAGGCATACACCCGCAGTAAGCTTGACTGTGTTCGCATGACAATGAGCCTATTGATCAGTTATATCTTTCGTTCCGATCAAGAAAAGGCGCGTACATGTCTCATAAAGTGACAGCCGGTCGGTAACGCCAGCCCAGGTAATCAGACGGCTTGTCATTGTAAGCTCGATTAATGCGACGTTGACCCGCTGGGGTTAAACCTTAACGTTATTTCCGAAATTCTCTCTTGCTTCGCTAATAATTTGTTTTACTGACGTATAATGGTTTATAACGAGTGCTCTAGTGGTCTCCCGTTATCTCGCCTATGTCGCAAAACAAATAATTAAACCGGCGCTCGCATTAAGGGGAACGACGCGGCATAGCTGACGTGCTTCTGTGCGCGTTGGGAAATGAAGGCGATGATTCCTCGAGAAAAGGAATGGGGAGGGCAGTGTGGCGCGTCTGTCTCGGCTCGCTAACGACGCAACTGGGCAGCACGTGGCGCGCTTCGGCCTACGGATGGAGCTTTAATGACGCCTTCCCTTCAACCTCGACGTTACGGCGTAACGACCAGCGCTGCGCATTCCTCGCGCGAGCCAGGCCTCGTGGTTTTCGAATGTAAATAATTTAGCTAGTCGGACCGCCGCGTTTACGGGCGTGAAGGGGCTTATTTCAATTTATTCGGTCCTTTCTCTCTCTCTCTCTCTCTCTCTTACTCCCTCCCCCCGTTCTTTCGTACGCTGTGAGGCTATTGCTGCGAACGGCTCGCGGTATGTCCACGATTCTTGCAAACCCGTATTATTAAGGACCCTCGCGCAGCAAGGAAAACGTTGGGTATAGGTCCCAATGTAGCGAAACGCATGCGCTTGCAAGCTGCTGGTACGCATTGAGCCTTTAAAGACAGCTAACGAGTGCCCCAATAAGGTCAGGTTTCAGACGCCCTGTCGCATTTCGCGAGCGAAGTTATCTCCAAACGACATTCTTTAATATGAGGTAGAAAAAGAATTGAGCCTCAGCCCGCGCTTTAGGAATATAGCGGACAATCTTAGAACGACAGAAAGGGCAGATAGGAGGTTAGTATTCAACACGAGGGGGGGGGGGGGGGGTGCTGCAAACATGGACACGACTGAAGGGAACAAGATGACGCGTTGAACTCGAGTGCAAGGTCAAACCGGGGGCACGCCTCAAGAAATCGTTAAGGTGGAGTGGACTTCTAAAACGACTTGATCCTAGGAGTAGTTGAATCCAGGACCTCCCCGCCTTAGGTGGGAATGGCAT